GTTTTTAAACGAAAATTCATGTTTTACATTTGGGATCATCCGCCTGACTTATGTTTAAAGGAATTGGTCGTTGACGGCGCAAAAGCCATAGGCTAAATTGCATTTTACTATGCATGCTACCGTGGAAATGAAATAAATACCGGCACCCCTGGCAGTTATTAGACATTACTTCCATCAGAACTGAAATTGTTCGAAGAAGAAAGCGTGTAGGAGTAGACGTGAATAGTTGTCGATTTCTGCAGGTCAGATTCACACTCCCCTGCCGGCGCGAGCATTAACCGTCCCTGCTGTAACGCTATTGGCTGGTCTACTAGCCAATCATTTCAGTTGGCGAAGCATGCATTAAGGATATCAAGGTTTCGTCAGTTTTCACAGTAATACGGGCACAGCTGACTGCACGTGGTTACCTGTGCCAACAGCATTTGAGTTGGCGTGCCGTGGTCTCATCACTGGTGGTTGTAAAGACGATAACATGCATTTGATCGGCCGCTGCCCAGGATTCAACGGCCAGCATCCGCCTTATGCTCGCTTCTTTCCTCTTCTATTAGCCCTCACAATCTCCGCACGTACAACTCGAGCGGACGCGCAAGCCGATAAACCCCCAAGAACACTTAATCCTGTGTCCAGCGACTCCATTGATCGTAAACAGCCAGAATTTAATAACTTCAAGCAGCCTTGCAATTTCTACTGTTACCTATCTACCGAAAAGCAGGATGAGGTCAAATGCACTGCCATTCCATTTGCGCCACCGCAAAACCAACCCACAAACATTCCCTGTTACCTGGACACAGAAGACAGACAAATTGTGATTGGAAATAAATCAAGCGTTCGCCGAATTGCACCAGGTGGCCTGAGGGTGCTTGCAAACCCACGTGCTCTCCAACCGCCGTTCAATAAAAATCATCTCAACTTGTACTTACGACTGAATATTTTGGAAATGAACGCCACCGCGCTAGAGGGCCTGGAAGGTGCACTCCAACAAATACAAATTTACAATCTACACGATTTGCACCCGGATACTTTCTTTCATCACAGACGACTCAGCGCATTCGCCCTGGACACTGCTACAGCACCCGAGTTTCCTCGTTCGCTTGCGGCTAAGTTACAGCAGGATGCCACTGGCCTGCCCATACGGCCTTTCTTTCGTCTTTTTCCTGAGGACGTAGGCAATCCGTTCGCCTTAAACATGGATGTCAGGTGTCACCGCTGCGGCAATGACTCCGAGAGTGTCGGAAGTGAAGAAATGGAGGACCCGATCATCATCACGTTCCCCCAAGAACGAAAACCCAGTACTCCTGTTCCCGCCTTAAATGTTCTCGACGCCCTTTCACTGATGTACCTCGACAGTTGTCCACGTCTGGAGGACGGACTAGGCTGTCCACTGAGGCTGGATGCAGAAAATGACAATACCTCTAACACAACAACTCTCGGGAATCCCTTGCTGCCGTATGTTGTCAGTGAGTTGGCGCCCACGGGTTGGTCTGACAACGATGGTCTGACTGATGACCTGGCGACGGATGATGACTCAGACGCATTGGTCGTCGCCACAGCCGGTCACAACAGCGCTCTCACAACATTTCTCGTCGTTTGGTGTTCTCTGATCACAGTCATTCTACTCTGCGTCTGTGTGGTTCTATTCATTCG